CCCCTCTGACGTGTGTACTCTGCTCGGGCAAGCTAACCATGAGACACGCGTTGAACCTCCGCCCTGTGTATCACGAGTGCGGTCGGCAACTCTCTAACCCACAAGCGTTTCCTTTTTCACATTTTCCCGAGACACACGATGGCAGCGTAGGTTCCTTGAAACTTGGCAATTTCTGACACGACCCCGTCAACGTTTTGGTAGATCCAAGGTTTTAACAGTGTACCATTGTTTTTTGTCTGGGAGAAAATTCCGCGCTATCGTCGCGTTACTTGGCCGACCACCGTCGGATACACCCTAGAGCAACGGTACCTGCTGGCCCTGATAGCGCATAGTTCGAACTGATGGGCACTACTGTGTCGAAAACAAGTCGTCGAACTATCGAGCAGTGGACCACCCGTGGGAGTTCAGATGGACTGTTTTCCTCCAACGTCTTGCACACAACGCTCGAGACTCGAGACCATATCCTGAAAATGGACCAAATCCACCGCAGTGCGAACACGGCTGTGTGCCACTCTCACAGGCTTGCCATTATTATCTTCTCCGACAAGAGACCCCGTGCCCTAGCCGCACGCCATGCGCACTGAATATCCACGGCGGCAGTGGTAATATGTTCGGCGCACAAGCTATGCCACGGCATCCGTTCTACAACTGCATGTTCTCCGTCCGTCGCCACGTTCTCGCCGACGCGATCACCAACGTGTTCATCTTCGCCACCCCCACCCGCCACTCCTGCCAAAGAGCTGCAGATTCCATCATCGCTATCGACATGGGACAAAGAAAAGCCTCTTTTCCTTCGTCCGCCAAAGCCGAACCCGAAAGGCTTAGTCCACTGGCTACAATTTGTTTCGCGGCAGACATAAAACGGGTGTTGGTACTCCTCGTCAAAGTACTCGACGAATCGGGCGTTAACCGCAGCGATTGTTTGCGACCGTTCGAGACGAGATCGTACGACAGCCTGTAGTTTGACGACGGCCCTGAGAAGCACAGACTCTTGCTCTCCGACCTCGTCTGCGGTTTCTGCTTCCGCCTGAGTCCACCACAATTCTTCTTTTCTCGGCAGCATTGGTGTGCCATCCTCGTCGTATACCGCCTGCCCCCCTTCTGCCCTAGCTCCCAGCCCCTGCTCGTTCGAAAGTGCCGCAGAGGAGCAACGCCTCCTTGGAGAAGACAATGGTTGGTCATCACTCCCCCGTGCCGAAGAAGAGTACAAACTAGCGTGCGTAGAAGTAATACCGTCTTCGTTGTCACCGATAGCCGTGGCACGTTTGGGCGCTTCTTCATGTTCTGCTATCCTTGTATTCTTCATTCCAGGTTGTCTTGATTTAAGCCCTCTATTTCTACGTCGTTCCCGCCATCGCGCAACGCAACCGCGCACTAGAGTCTGCATTCGGATGGCAGCGGCATCCTCCAGCGCAAAGCGTCTCGTCAGCCTAGCCCTCGCGGTGAGCGAGGCCGCTTGCAGGGTCTGAGCGACCTCTAGTTGCTCGGCCAGCTGTTCGATATGGGCGGACAACGAAGAAGAGGAACAAGACAAGCTTGCTGTGCTAGTAGAATCATGCTGGCGCTTCTCGAAACTATTAGAGACTTCCGGCGCTTTGTTCGCATCACCTCCACCCAACTTGTTCCCGAGTGAATGCTTGACTATTATTGCATCCCGACTTTGCTGAACGGAATCCTCCGCGGTAGCACTTGAAGAGTCGGTGGCGGCGGCGGCCAACAGCTCCAGCTGAAACAGACGCTCATTTGCACAGGAAGTGGCGCTCTGAGCCGCTCGCACAGCCGACTCGGCTTTAGCGAGGCATTCTTCGCGAGGCGGATTGTTGCCCTCGTTGAGGAGGCGTGATAGCTCCGCCGCTCGGTTACTGGCGGACCGAACAGCGGCTTTCGCAGACGCAACGCTGATGAACGTTCTACTCCTGCTGTTATTGTGATTGTTGCAAGCTTGTTTCAAGGAAGGGTCGCCGCCGCGGGAATCGGCCTCCGTCGCTGCACCTTCGCCGTTGTCGGGAGCTTTCCGAGAGGGCTTGTCTTCGTCTGGGAGGGTGGTAGGACCAGTGGTCATGGCGGCGGCACCTGTCATAGCAGTTCCGCCGTGAATGGGAGCACCCCCCTTGTGCCCTGCTTTCCCTCGCTCTCGCCAAAAGGCCGCCATGGTTCCCTCTCCAGGCGCGGCAACGTCGATACCAACACCTACATCAACACGGCTACCATCACCTAGAGTACTACTCCCGCCACTACCAGGGCTGCATCCTCCAGCACCCCAGAACCACCCACTCGGTTGTGCTGCTCCAGTCCCCGAAGCCTCGCCCTTGCTGTTTCCAAGGTCATGGTGCACGCATCCTCTTGCCTTCGCCTCGGGTGGGACGACACCAGTGTTGTTGCGAAAGTTTGGGTTTGTTTGGGCTGAGGTACCGTTGGGGACGACAGGAAAATTCGACGGTCTGTACAGCTCGTCGTGCTCACGGATTGTTGCGAGGAACACATCGGTAGCACTCTCTGTTGCGATGCCTGAAGCTCTAGCTGACGACGCTGATGGTTTCTCGGCGGTCGTTGGTGGTGCCGACGATGACTTTCTTGGTGTAGAGCTCAGAGGCCACTTTTTTACAAGTGCGCGCCCAGCATGTACGATCTGGCGAAGGTCAGCTTCAACCTTGGCGGCGGCCGCTTGGTGTGTAGTTCTGTTGCATCGCTGCAGGTCTTGAAGCAAGCTCTCTTGCGTGTCCGACTTCTTCTGCCACTTTCAAGTTGTGTCGTGTCCGGTTTGGGGAGGACAGAAGCGTGTCATGGCCGGATAAAATGTACGGGGTGTCAAACAGTGAACACGGCGGTTGATCTTCGTCCGTTTCTCTGCCATGGTGTTTTTTACTACAAGTACAATCCTACGCTAGAACTCCCCGAATGAAATTTGCGCGGAACAACCCGCCTAAAATGTGTAGCACTCAAGACTGCAGGGCACACCGCTAATTGTGAACGATAACTGGCGGCAAAAACTTCGTGAGCATTGAAAAAGAGCAACCGGTTGCCCTCGCCCACAAGAAAAGAAATGAACACTAACAAGTCTATCTACGCAGATGGTGCAAGTGTACATCGTGCCGAGCAAAGACAGACAAACTTCCAACATGATACAAGATACTGTACGTAGGCCACTTACTTAGTCAGGCAAAGGAGTGTACCTACTGCTGTAGTACGGTGAGATACAGCAGCACTACTGTGTACAAACAGTACATACATCTAGGTAGTAGTCTACTGCCGTGTTGCCACGCCCGCCAGAGAGGAGAGAAAAAAATTGTAGTACGCCCTGACAATTGATGTGGTACTTACTTGCTGGAGCTGACGGCGAATATCCTCAGATGATTGCCGTCTCCGCCGTAAGGATGTTGTACCCTCTCTACGTGTCTTCGACTCTACGGTTGCTGTTCCCCGCTCCTTTCCGGTACCTCTGTACATACAGAGCGACGCGGATAGGGTCAGAGAAGAACGCCGCGAGGGGCGAGCAGCGCCGCAATGTCTGCAGTACAAACAGCCCTTTTCTAGCCAGCAAGCACAGTCGGAACACACTTCGGTTATCGCCATGCGTCTCGCGCACGAGAGGGAGAGAGAAAGAGATATATCATCACTGCTCTCGGATCAGTACATGAGCTGAAACGGTGCGTACCTGCACTGTGCCCGCTAGCCAATCAAATCGCTGCTGCTGCCGTTGATTACGCCGCATCTGTTCCGTGGCGATGTGGCGATGTGGCGATGGGCGATGGGTAACAGCGTAACAGCTCAGTGAGATGTGTGTCGTTACTTCTGCTATCATCATGTAGCTTTGGCGATATTGTTCGCAGTGTCATCAATCCCGTGGATTCTCCAAGAAAATCGTCCGTCATACATTTTGTGCACATGATTTGAACGTCACCCTCCAAAGGAGGGGACAAAGAGTTTTGGTGGCGCTTCCTCTCTCTCCCTCTGTTTCGCTCTGCGCAGGGTGTGTGCTCGCGTCAGACACACACACACACCCGTCGGAGAAAGAAAGTAAATCGGCAGGATCAGCACCAGCAGGAGTCCGAACCCGTTCTTTCGCTAGGTCTAAGTTGAATCTACAGCATACCGGTCCTACTACTGTATCGCATGTCTTGGATACCGATAAAAAATAAAGAGCACATGCGAGTATCTGAGGAAGAACAATGAACAGAGTATCGCGATACTCGATTCTCGATACATGTCCAAACGCGTCGAACAATCAAAGACGAACACACTGGATATTTCCATACGGCGTACGATGCGCAACCAGAAGTTATGCAGATCCCGATGCGTCTCTCGCTCTTCGGACCCACACAAACAGAGAGACTCGCCCACAGAATACAAGACGCGCGCGCTCGGACGTGGCAGATTCGGCGAACAGATCGGGGTGCGTCGAACGCACTTTTCACTACTGCTGTCTGTGATCGACTACCCTCAAGACAAAGCAGTACTCGGCTGATACGGCAGAAGTTATAGCATCCCCCCATCATCGCTGTTTCTGTGCTACATACAAATGTTGTTGAAACATGCAGTCTAGTTCCGGTTGACAGAGTTCCAGGATATCGTACGAAAAAACACATCGCATTCGAGATGTTATTTTTAGGTATCCCAGACCAATTCCGAGTAACAATCTTTCACGCCTATTCACACTTTGCACACCAACAGTAACACTTGTTGCACGGCTGCCCATACTGCTGTCTCTGTCTCTTCCAGCTGATGGATGAATCCCATCTAAAACTTGTGCCGTATGGGGCAAACCAGCACACAGCACAACACCCCATGAGGCAACAACAACCCATTTACACTATTGTATACAACAAACTAGCGTAGAAGAGCGCCATGCTAGAAATCACATCCATTCATCCCGCGTCAACATTTGTATAAGGACACAAGGACTCACCCCAAGTCTTTCCTGAAACAGAGACCCGGCGGCGAAGGCGCAACAAAAACGAAGCGACCAGACGAGTACGCCCCCTCTTTGGCCCGATACTAAATCAGCCCAACCTTCCCCCCAACGCTTCCCGCGGCCGCCAACCGCGACCCCCAGGATTATCAGCCTCTTCCGATCGCAATTCCCCCCGATCCCGACCTCCGCCGTCGTCCTCTACTCCGTCGTCGCCCCCGCCGTCGCCGCCGTCGCCGCCGCCGCCGCCAACAAACTCATAGTCTTCTTCCATCCCTCCTCCTGGCAAGGCTGTCCCCGCCTCGGTTGCCGGCGGCGGTGGGGGCGTAGCCGCGGCGGTCGTGAAACCCAACCCCAACCCTAGCCTGCTCCTCATGCCCGCTGTTTTCCGGCGGCGGTACCCATCAGATGCCTGTGCTGATGCCTTTGCTGATGCCCGATCCCTGCTACCGGACGCGCCCCCTCTCGAGCCGAGGCGATGAAACCCGGCACTCTTTGGCTCGGGAGGATCCCGCGGCATTGGCAGCGGGACGTCCACCATTGGGGAGGAACTGCTTTGAGGAATTAGGACCGTCGCGCGGAACGTTCGGCCACGCAGAGGTGAAAGAAGCACGGCACGGAGGCAGGCACGCAGGTGGGTAGGGTCGCACACAAAGATCCATTTCACACTCGAAACGCACACAAAGGTACCAACCCAAGAGGATTTGCTACATCGCTGCGTCAACCGCGAAGAAACGGTGCACGGACGCGAACCCAAAATAAACGAAACGGCGGGGCCTCTTTCTTCTTGATGTAACGGTTGGATGTTCTGCAACACTTGGGGAGGGGTCGAGCAATGCGATGCCTGCTATAGCAACCAACGTGTGATGAGGTACCCTACATCGCGGGCTTTAGCTAAATTGTAAGCTCTAAAATGTTTGCCGGAGGGACACGAACAAAATGCAAAGCAGAGATACAAAAGTAAAGGTGCAAAAAAATGGAGTCCAACATGAGAAAAATACTGGACAGCACTACAATCACACGACGAAGCGGGGGGGAGGGGAGCATCGCCGCTACAAACCCCGCGAGATCACCTTCGAAGCTCTGACATTGCGTGCTGCTGTAGCTCCCAGAGATTGAGAAGGAGTGCTTCCGCGGGCCACAGACTATCGACAGGGACGTTAGCCCCTTCGACGCAGAGATGTACTATATCGCTGCAGCGCGCAAAGAGGCACACGACGAAGGCATGGGCAACATGAGGAAATAGTATTCAGAAAAGCATAAAAAAAGAAGGCCGTCAGAGCCGCTGGCGCAAAATTACGGCGAGAGAAGGTGAAGAAGTAGAAACAGGCAACAAAAGGTAAAGGTGGGACATCTCCTACTCGCACCGTTCCGCGAAAACTCTCTTCTCTTGGGCGAGGCAGCTACGCAGGGTGCCCTCCCGCACCCACATCCATCAAAGCCACCGGCGTCACCACAGCCATCATCAAGGCCGCCGATGGCAGCGATATGACGGGGCCGGCCGGCGCAATTTTCAACCAAGCGCAAATACCGGGTGCTGTGTACCTGCCACAGGCGGTACCAGAGCATGCGGAGGAGGACGCAACAGCAGCACAAACTCTCCAAACCAAACTACCGCAAACCAATCAAAAAGTCGCTTCCTAATCTAGTCTTAGTAGTAACGCTTGCGTGAAAAAGAGCACCCATCCGGCCGCCACCCACTTTCGAAGGAGATCCAGCGCCGTGTCGAAAGCACCCATGGTTTTGCACACCGCAGAAGCTGCCCCCATGACCCCTATCTCCGCCAGCTTGGACAGAGGGCACAAGGGGTACTGGCTAGATCTTCTCGCATAGCATTCCAGGAGGAAAGGACAAGGCGCGCGCATGGGGGGGGGGGGGGGGGG